GACGGTGGCGGACACCGGCCACGTAGGAGGTGAAGACGTCGGCGGTAAAAGCCGAGATCGCCAAGGTGACGGCCACGAGGGAGGCAGGCTTCGGCCCCGCCGTGGAGGACAGCCGGTGCCGACGGAGGATGCCGGTGAAGGCGGGGGGCGTCGAAAACGGGTGGGGGGGTGAAACAGTGGCGACGGAGGCGACGGGGATGGTGGGGGAGGCGAGGGCGGTGGTGGAGACGGAGGCGGGCTCGGAGGCGGCGGGCTCGGTGGTGGGGGTGAGGGCGGTGGCGACCTTGGGGGAGGCGGCGACGGCGGCGGGGAGGGCGGCGGCGGCGACGGAGGCGGCGGCGAGGGCGGGGGTGGGCTTGGCGGTGGCGGTGACGGCGGTGGCGATGGCGGTGGCGGCGAGGGTGGTGGCGACGGAGGTGGGGGTGAGGGCGGCGGCGGTGAGGGCGGCGGCGGCGAGGGCGGGGGTGCAGGTGGAGGTGACGGCGGCGGCGATGGCGGAGGCGAGGGCGGAGGCGAGGGCGGAGGTGAGGGCGGTGGCGACGGCGGAGGCGACGGCGGCGGCGAAGGCGGCGGCGACGGTGGAGGCGGCGATGGCGGCGGCGATGGTCGAGGCGGCGGAGAAGGATGGGGCGGCGGCGGCGACGGCGGGGAAGGCGGTGAGCTCGGCGGCGGGAAGGGCGGCGGCGAGGGGATCGGCGGGTGGCTCGGCGGCGGCGACGGCGCGGGCGACGACGGTGGGAAGGGCGGCGGCGCGCTGTAGCACGAGAGTCGATAATAGAGCTGCTCGCCTCCCGTGGTGGCTAGCATCGCGTAGGTGAGCATGCCTCCGCCGCTCGTGGCGGTCTCGCAGTCGAGGTAGCTGAGTAGTGTCGTCTCGTCGAGAGGGGTCGCGGTCTTGACCGACGCGAAGGGCGAGGGCAGCGGCGAGGTGCTCGGCGAGTTGGAGGCGAAGAGCGTGCCGTCGACGAGAGAGACGTCGTGACCATACGAGCCCGCGAGCTGCAGGCCGACCGTGTTGGGGATCTCGAAGGCGAGGTTGATGATCGAAGGGTTGGGCTGGGCGGCGAGGAAGCTCTCGCCGACGCGGATGGTGAGCTTGACCTCGGTACCCGCCTCCCAGCTGGTCGGGTTGGTGGAGAGGTGGGCGGAGCAATGGGGGTCGAGGTTGCCGACGGTGCAGAGGGTGGGCGCGAGCGGAGGCGGCGGGCTTGGCGGTGGAGGTGGGAAGGGAGGCGGCGATGG